ACTTATTTAAATAATAAATAAAAAGTAAACTTTGATTATCCTGCTCACATTGAGCCATTCTGTGGCTCCCATTGAATCCACAGTGCTTCCAGTAAAACTGAATCTTTTTGAGAGTTCATACCAGGAATTTAGGTATTCATGAGGTGTGGTTAAGATAATGCTGCCTTGCAACCCAAATATTCTTTTCTTTTCGAAATAAAAATAGCATTTAGAAAGGAATGAGAAAAGAAAATTTGGTTTAATTAGTAGTATCAGATGGAGAGGACCAAATCAAGGAATTAGATGGGGCAAAAATGTTATTCTGTGATTTACAAATTAAACACGTCTTCAACCAACCATCTGCCGAACACTTAACAAAAAGTTTGAATAATTATTCTCTACTTTTCAGAGTAATTTCTTTTAACAGTGGGAATACCTCTGGTGTTTTCGTATATTAAGTACTAGAGAGAAAACATTATATGCCATTATATGTCTTTTATCTGTCCTTTTCTCTTTTTTACAGTCTAAAAGTGTTTGATCTCTATAAATCTTTGATATTCTTTCTACCATATCCCATGTATCTAAACTGATGGTTTTAAAAAAGGAGAGAAAACATCTAGCTTTGTGGTTCCTTTTTTTAAAATGTATCCTGTTTTGAGTCACATTGGAGTTTATTAAAGTTAAATTTATTCTGGTTTACAGACGCTAGAAGAGGTTGAGAAGACTGAAGGGTACTTTATGGATAGGATTTTGATGCAGGTGATTTTTAGCCTTGCCAAGGCTGGATATCCTCAGTACATCGAAGATATTAAAGAACGCATAAGATTCAAAAAGGAATTAATTCCAGGTATGTCCCTTGTCACTACAGTAGTGATTCCTACTCAGGATGGAGAGTGAAAGCATTTTCTTTCTCCCCCCGCCTCCATCCCCTGCCCTAGCAATAACTAATGTTATCAAAAATAGATAATTTTGTACTTTTCTCTTGATTACTTGGGGAAAATAATATTTTTGCTATTATTTTGTGGATTCATTTGTGCTACTTTAGATCACAATTTATAAAATTTAAATATAATCCAATTTTAATCATTTACTGCAGAAACTTATCTGTTTTACATCTAAAATACATTAAGATCTTATAGGAAAGCAGTAATATGAAGTCTGTTCTTCAAACAACACTGCTGTGATTCCAGTTGTGACAGCTCTTTGTGAATATCAAAAATAGGACACTAAACATTGAATTTAGTTTTCTTTATCTACAGATAAAGTCTATTTTTTGACGTGTTTTTTAATGGAAAAATGAATATTTATCAATGAATTTCATTGATAAATACAAGTAATTTTTAAAAAGGTAGTCTCAGACTTGATTGGTTACTCATATTTAAAACTATGCTGATGATACTTGTAAAACATTTACTTTCCTATCTTCCACAAATTTTAGTAGTTTAACGGGAAATAGTTCTATGCACTTTTTAAATTTTATTATGTTTTTCAATCACTAGATGCAATGAACCTGTGTCTGACTCTGGTAACTCACGGCTTTGAAGATACAAGTTTCCATATGCTGAAGTCCTTTAATCATTTAACACGTGATAATACGGACCAGGGTAGCTTCTTCTTGCAACATTGTGTAAATAGAGATCTGGTACGCAGAATAATAATACTTTCTTCTTAATATGCTAATAACAGTGTATTTATTTAGTTTAATGCAACTATGAGGACGGAAAATAGTAGATTTTTGTAGTTAAAGAGTAAAAGAAAAATTTTAATATTTCATTTCAGTTTGCATACTAAATTGAAATTCATAAAGCACATGTTTAATATGTGTAATATCTATTTCCTGAACATTAGAAGAATCTGACATTCTTAACTATTTGAGAAACTGAAAAATATAGTAAATTAATTTTTTAAATTCTTTGCAGCCTGTGAACAAGCTGAAGCAATTCTGTAGTGAGTTGAAAGAAGCAAAAATGCACTCGGCACCATTACCATTTATTTTGCGTTGTGCTTTGGAGACCAACAGATCAGGTATTCTGCTTATTTAGTTACTTTACGTATGCTTATTTGAAGTACTTTGTCACTGTTTAATTATCTTGTGAATGTTTTCAGCCTTGGCCATTGATGTGATGAAGATGATGAAAGAGGAAGGCTTGCCACTCAGACCTCACTATTCCTGGCCACTGCTAGTAGCATTCCAGAAAGAGAAGAATCTTAAAGGTCAGTTATCAGATACATGGTCCTCTAGCTTTGTTGCAAATGTAGTGCACAAATTTTAAAGACATTGCTATGAGATTCAGCAGACACTTGAAAGTAAACAAAGACTGTGCTGCTTGTCTTTGTTACAATTTTTCCTTCAGAAACACTTTTAAAAAAAAAACTATTCTTAATGATGGTACAGTTCTACAAATGCGAAGTCTACCTTTGCATAGAAAGACATGAGAGGGTTTAATTGTCTTTTTAACTCTTCACATTCTTTCTGCCTTCCACTGGTTCTTTTTGCTGCTTATTATGTTTTACAAAGTTTAGTCTTGAAGAAATGGAAATCTGAAAGAAACATCTAATAATAAGGTTATATTTTAATAACTGTCTTGGACTGCAAACCTGATCCTTTTTCAAGCCAACTTCTTATTATCTACCTGATAAGCCAAACACGAGTTTCATTACAGTAATAAAAACTGCAGGAGAACTTCTGCTGAATGAGTGAGCCTGACCTGACAGCATACTGATTGAAGGACAGAAATGCTCAATCTTTGGGATTCTTAAGTAGGTTTAAGCATTTAGCATACTTTCTCCTGTTACACATGGGGATGTCTACAGGATATGAATAAGAATTGAACAAATATTAAATTTTAGAGTACAGTATCTAATTCTTTGGTTTGCGTTATTGGTAATTCAGAAAGAATGGTATTGTAAAAAGATGCTTTTAACAGAAGTACTTCCCCCTTGGGGAAACAAAAAACTGTCTTTTTCATCTTATCTCACAGTATAATGTGCTTTAGAATGAGATGCAGAGTTGTTAGTGTGACACTGGGTGACAAACAAAATGCACAAACAAAAAAAAAGTGCTTTTAACAGACTCTTCATATTGCAATTTTATCTTAAATATACAGTCACATTCCAGTTTGGAAGAAATGCTGAAACAAGTATTCCCTAATTGTTTCTGGCTTTAAAAATGTCTCAAGTCTTTTTCAAAAAGCCTTTGTGAAAACAATATTCAGTTTTTATTAACTCCTTAGACTCTGTTCCTGCTAGACTGCTTCCCAAGTTTATCTTCTCCCAGGTTTTCAAATGCTTTAAAGTTGAATGAGATTTTAAAAGTCTGGGAACGTTGTTTTAGTTGGGTCCTTTGTGACTTGCTTGAAGTACAATGTTGCCAAAAATAAGTAAATTAAAATCAGTGTCATACTTCTCTGTGTGGATGCTGCTTACTGAAAAAACATGCTTTTTGTTACTCCATGGAAAATTTCACCTCATGAACACAGTTATAAGAGATATCAGAAGTATTTCTAGATTTAGACTTAGCTCCCCAAACTGAGGCAGTATCTGACTGTTGAGAGAAACTTGAGTTTTTTTATCTCTCTTCTGGTCTTTGGCAAGATCAGAGGTTGCCTAAATTTGGACTTGTGCTGTAGAAATCAACTATGCTTTGGCTAGTAGTTCCTGCTGGAAGTCATGTAAGCAAATTGAGAAGAAAACTGATGAAGCAACCCTTAATTCTGGCTTTCTTTGCCGTTTTCTAGAGAGCCTTTCTTTTTCTGTCTGCAAAGACATTGAATCCATAAACTTCTGTATGGCTGTACAATAATACTGTGGATTCCCAAACACGTTTTTGTAACCTGGTACTTAGTCTCCAAGTTTGAATTGTCAAGCGGGAACGTTACTGCTGTGTGCATACCTACAAAGTCAGTGATTTTACATTTCTTAGAATACATAGGAAGATAACTAAGCAATTTCTTCTGCAGTGAAGAATTAATCTTGCTGCAGTGAAACAAATTATCTTGTTCTTTCCCATGTGTAAGCTCGCATTAATTTAAAAAAATTTAATAATTAAATAATGAATAAATGAGATCCACTCAAAAATACATTTGAAGGAGAGCAAATAGTGTGTGTGTGGGGGGAACCCCACCCACCCTGAAACTGTTTTGTAGAAACAATAAAGCAAAAAACAATGCTGCAGTGAGAACCTAAAGCTGACAGCAGATAGTAAATGAACAGAATAGTGTTTTCTAGCAGCAATAAAAAAAAGAGCTGTGTACAGATAGACACTGGATCACATCTCGTACCAAAAATGAGGTAGTAATTCCTTTCTCTACAAAGTAGTAATGCCCGGCCTAATGTGTGTAATTTTGCATCTCAGTAAAGGTAAGGCTGAAATGGAGAAGAACTTTGAGGAAGAACTATTAAAAACCTGATAGGATATAGACAATGGACTAGATCATTGGTAAAGAACACAGAATATAAGGAAGAACCTATCTAGAACTGCAGGGTACAAATGTCTGAATCAGTATGTATAATGTGATCCAAACAATTGCATAACTAGTACAGATGTTTAATTACACTTTTATCTAATGCTTATTATAACAAAAGCTGACACTGGGTATCAAAGGAAATTCCCTGACTTCTATATTATAGAATTACATTTAAAAGAAAACTAGCAGTGGAGTGGTGGTTAAAAGGAATGAAACTAAGCAAGACCATCTCACTGTAGAGAACCACTCTGAAATAGCAAACGGTTCTTTTCAGTCATTTTACACAGGCAAATAATTTCAGATGGGGAATTCTTGCTTTTAAGTGCATCTGTTACATAAGTTGATAATTACTTATTTCCATAGTATTTATCCAAGTAAATACTGTTAGGCTTTTAGGAATGGAAAGTGCTTGCAGGGTTTAGAAGATCAATATATGGTGCATCTGAAACTGTTACTGGCACTGAGATTCATCTTCTATCAGATTATACACTAAAACCAGAAGAGCCTAGTATAAATAAGCTGAAATATTTGACTTGCACTTGTTACTGATTATTTTATAGCTCCCCTTCATCTTTGTATAATCATGCTATTTTTAAAGACAGTTTGTGAAATTCAGTAATGTATTTCACTTTTGTTTTCTACTAAACTTATCTACACAAAGCATCATTAGTGAATGGTAATTCAGTTTTCATTTTGGGAAATCAGAGTGAGTCCGGAGGAGGAATATGTGTGGTGATTTCACAAAGTAACTGCTTGAAATACGGATTTTGTAGACAGCTTTTCTGGCAAAGAACTTTGAATGCATCTGAAAATAACAGCACAGCAAGAATATTTTAAATGTTACGTTGTCTTCCTGAATGCTACCTCACTTTTTGAACTGGAGTTTTATTTGTTTCCTTAGAAGAGTGCTTAAAGCCCAATTGTACTGCCCTTGCACATGTAGATTTTTGTGTGACTGCCTTAGTCCCATCGGAGCAGGGGGGATTTCTGCTTTTGGGGAGAAGACATGACTGTGTGAAGCATAGGAAATGAAAGGTGGCCTGAAATGCAAATCTCACTTCTCATGTCTTGAAAAGCAGCAAGTTGCTCTGTTCTGCCACAGAAATGTTATGACTATCTTGTAATTCATCTCTTCTGTGTTTGTTTTTGGATATACTGGTGCGAGGCTGGAATCTCTTCTGTTGGGGTGTTCCAGTGCTGTTTGCAGTACCGACAAAAAGGATAACAGAAGTTTGGCTGTTTTTTGTTCCTTATTTCTGTCTTCTTTCCACTCAATTATTTGATTTTTAGATACTCAGCTCTTGCAGTCCATATATATCTCAGCCCAAGACCTCAAAAACCTTTTCTTGATCAAGCAGGGAGGTGGCTGAGATACATTACTATGGGTTTTAGTCATACCCAGTCTTCTGGATCAGTGTTCTCAAAATAGGATGTGTAAGGCAATCCACTGGGGTGTGAGCCAGCTGTTAATAAATAAAACAAATAATTTAGTAATTTTTTACTTTCTATTTTTGTGTATGTTTTATAATGTGCATAATATAGTAGTGCATGTATATAATTTCTAAATAAATATACATGTACTGCGAGCTTGTTTTCAAAAACGTTCAAGAGGCCAGTGTTCTAGATAAATGTGGCTGCACTCTTGTCTTTCTTTTAGTCTGTTCTTTGGTCTGGAGAGAGAGAAGAGATTAGTGTACTTTCCAATATGAGGAGAAAAGAATTACTCTAAGTCCACACACAAAGTCCACTCAAATCCTTTTTCATGCATGTATTTGACAATTTTATACTATTTTGATTTAAGTGTGGATATTTCTTTGCTTTGTATTGTGGAAGACATGTATGTGATAATAAAGTAGGTCTGCTCTTAGTGATGTAGAAAATACATGTAAAATTATAAGATTCTGTGTTTTCTTCTCCAATAGAATTGTAGCCATCTTAGAGATGAAGATATGTGTGGCAACTTTTTTCTTGATTTATTAATTTCTTGATTAATTTGGCTATTTGCAGTATTGATACTGGTATTCCTTCTAAATCTGCATCTCCCTGTTGTGCTGGTGTTGTAGTCTTCATACGTGTCCTTTCCTACTCAGGAAATGTGCTAGGTCATGTAATGTTTTTGTGACAAGTGTCTGCTAGGGAATAGAGATGCTTAACAAGCCTGGTTTCTACTCTGTTCTAGATACAAATTTGATCTAAAATCTCCTGAGTTTACCACACCTTATTCACTGTGGTGCCTAGTCATTCAGACTACTTTCTAATGTTATTTTTGAAAAGGTTTCAGCATAAGAGGACTTAATGTATATCCTGGGAAGCTGAAAACATGAAATAGGAACTAGCTATCAAAATTGGCAAGGTATTAAGAAAGACTTACTGTAATTAATTCTTTATTCATATTTTTGCAGACTCTGGGCCAAAATGAGTGTTTTGTTTAAGGCAAACTCGAACAGATGATGCGACTTTAATCTAGTGTGACTTGCCTGCATGTATTTTCAAGTGCTCAAAGGGAATTCACATTTGATTATTTGCACCATAGTGCACTGCATAAAATATTCATGGAAGTGTCACTTTTCCATAGGTGACACTCCAGGGCAAAGACAGAGACTTTGGGAAACTTTACATTTTTGAAGTAATAAGTATGAAATGCAACTTGAAAAAAACATATGCTGTTTGGTACTGGTGTCCTGCAGCAACTGACAAATCATTTTTAGACCAGCAAAAAATGATAATACCTGTATGTGTTTTGACAGGGGTTCAGAGTTTGCTAGCTAGGGTTACTGTAAGAAGTTTCTGCAAATCAGAAGCGTGTGAGCAATTAAAAAGCATGACGTATTCTCTAAAACTCTACATTCCAGTTGCTGAACTATTAAGATTTGGTATCTGTTGTCTTCAAATGCCTATCTACAGTAGTAATATACAATGGTGTTACGTGAGTTGATCTGAACCTTGCAAAAGTTGTAATGTAGCTTTACTGAGGCTTGTGATACTCCAGCCTTTCTCCTCTGAATTTTCACTTTGAAGCTGATGCATTGATAAAGTAATCAAACTGTTTGCTTACAAAAATGTTAGTCATTTTAAACAGATCTAGAGACAAATCTTGGAACCTTGCCTTACTAATTGGTGTTGGGTACTGGATACAAAGCTAATAATGTATTATGCATTGAAGAACACATTTGTATCTTGAGTTTTATTACATAGTTTACACTAAATTTCAGATTTGTTTTTTATGCACAATAACATGGACATTTTTATATATAGCTGTGAAAGATGTTTTGCAAATATGACTGAGTAACTGTCATATGGTCACTGTGTTAGAAAATAACTCTCTAACAGGAATTTCCAAACTAGCCAAGAGTTTCATGGTTTTGATAGTATAGCACAGAACAGAAAGTTTAACACATCTGTTTTAAGTTTCATAATTAAGAACCTTATTAACACCTAAAATAAAAGTGCAGAATTTTGCATGGCAATTTCAAGAAGGGAAATTGAAGAGACGAGTCCTTTTTTATCGAAAAGCAACCTTTATTTTTAAATGTTGAGTCTCAAGTTTTCCTTTTTCTGAAATGCTTAGCCTTACCATTTTTTGCCTTGATAGGTGTCTTTGAGGTCCTCAAACTGATGCACGAGTTGGGGGTGGAACTTGATGCAGAAACATACACAGACTATGTTTTTAAAAATTTTTCTGATAGTGGAACTGCCTGTGCCCAGCTGAAGGTGAGTTTACATTTAGAATTAATAAAAATTACTACTGCATGGCTTGTTTTTCTGTGTTCTCTGTGAAGGCTTTAGATCCAGTAGTGCTCTAAATATTAACTTGTTACGATGAAGCCTCTTCAGAATATTCAGATTACTTTTGAAACTGATAGTTTATTTATGGTGTCTTTTGCCTGCTTTTCTTTCTCCTTTTCAGAGCTAACCAAAATATTTTGCTCAAGACTTAGTAGCTTTCTGTTTCCTCAAGTGAAAACAATGATTTATGTTCTTTTTTTTTTTTTACTGGTGATTAGAAGTATTACAGTTGTTTCTGGAGACTTTTTTTTTCCTTACTCGCTGAAGAATTCAGCATTGCAGACTAAGTTTAAATGTCCCACTCTTTCTGCCTTCGGTAACTTTTGTCTCTTGCAATTGATTTCCATACAAAAGCTGGATAATTTTTGATCAGTAAGGACATACCTGACTACCCATGTAGACTTCCGTAAGGCACCTTCTCTGCTCTCAACAGTTCTCAATAGAAGAATGCTAGTGTTCTCTGGGAAGGAAGTGTTTGAAAATACAAAGTATCAGGTCTTCACTGTGTATTTCCAATGATTGATTGCTTTCTCTCTAGGAAAATGGCTGCCTGTTTGAAACTGTTGGACTCTCTGTAGCAAAAATAAGATATGAAGCAGCAAATGGAAGACTGAACAATGTTCTTTCTCTAAGTAAGTATTTTTCATATTGCATGTTACTACATACTTGATGGTAGTGTTGATTGGTTGTAGGCCAAGAGATTTACATGTGTTAATATGAGGTTCAAGAATATGTGGGGAAACTTGAGCAAAGCTTTTATTATGTGAGGTCCTCTGTGATGATGAGATGTCAGACTGTTCAAAACTACCAATTCTGGACAACATATCACTGTTAAATTATTTTTTAATATTTGACCTAGCTGTAAGGTTTACATACAAGGTACTCACAAATCACAACTTTGCTGTGATTGTGATAGAGTTATGATCTTTTCATATGTAACGAGCTTAAGGAAGCAGTTTGCCTTGCACAATGACTGTTAAGTCTTTGGTGCAGGGTTTGGTTTTGTTTGCAACACCAATTCCAGCAGAATGCTAGTCTTAACTATATGGCTCTGAAGTACTACAGAATTATTAGTAAAAGAACCAGCTTTAAAAAACTGATTGGCACTGATGTTAACCTGAGGGTGTTCTGCTGATCTGTTGGTCATGGAAGTTATGTGTATAAATTTGATGGGTTAATTAGGTGATGGAGTTGTAACAGCATGAATTAATAACTTTTAAAATGTTTTCTCCAAAGGCTGTTTTGATGCTCAGTGCTTGCAAAAGTTAATATATGTCATTGACTAAATGGATGGAATGGGATGGGATGATTTGCTTAGTTAATAAGGAATATATGTTTCTCTTCAAGATTTAAAACACTCAGTTTTTACTTGCCTAGTATACCAAGATAAAAATAAAATACATAAATTTGGACTAAATCTGATACAGAAAGATCTTTTTTTAAACAACAGTTTTATTTTTCAAAGGTTCAAGGAACAGCCTAAGCAGTCTTTTGCTGCAGTTGCCATTAACTGTTTTAATATAATGAATGTAGAAATACGTAATCTATATGCCATGACCCTGGGAAGCTGTTGTGTTGAAAATGACAAAATTAAATTACTAATTACTCTTTAATTTTTGTATTTGAGATTTGTCAATTAGTGAATCTTTAGGATTCACCTCATATTCCGCCATTATTTTGTTTGTCATCTTTGCAACATAAAACATTCACCATGAAAAATTAAGTGCTTAAAATAACTTATTTTTTTAAATTAATTATTTATTAGGAGCAATGGAACTTCTTCTGGAAAGTGAAATAGGTTTTTATTGCCTACATGAAAAAGCAGACCCACTCCTGAACACTCATGACTGAAATAGTCAGGTTTTAATCTGTTATAAGGCATAAATACTTGCATGTCTGGTGTATGGTAAATGCATATGGTATCAAAAGTATGATACAGGCATACTTAGTAGGCTGCACTTTTACTGTCAAGAAATTAGTCTCACATAGTGTGTTATTTAGCTAGGGTCTGTGTGTTGAATTTAAATCCCGTAGCGGTATTTCTGTTTACAAAGGCGAGGGTTAATAATTCATGAAGACATACAACATTTCTTTTGAACTTGAGCTTTAAAGGAAGGTACTCCTGTAAATAGTTTACCAAGCTGAAATGAATGCTACAAAATCTAATTAGCACCTATGTAATGATAAGGCACAGATATTAAACAGCAGATTTTGTTTGTTTGTTTTTGACTTGGCTTCTTTTGCAGTATCACAAAGGGGAAAAATAGATGTAGTATGGAAAATAGTTCAAGATTGTCTCATCAGTGTAGTCAGGGGAGGTGAAGGTTGGTTATTAATGCTGGTTCCTATCTAGGTGTATTGATTCGGCTTCTCATACCTTATAATGTATGGATTTCTGCTACTGACAAGATGAAAAGTACGAAGCATCAGCTGAGGAATCTGGGCACATAAGGCAGTGTACATGAGAGCCGCTTTTTCCCTTTATCATGCCATTCCATTCCACTTCATTGTCAGCCTCTTGATTTTCGCAGACTTGTTTGTTGCTAAGGAAACCAGGTTGCCGATTGTCAGCAGCAGCTGAGCATACTAAGATGCTTTTCTACTCGTCTTTTTAAGAGCAAAAAGTTTAATATACTGCTGAAATAGGATTTGTATTGAGGTTTTCTTGAAACCAACTTTACCTGAGTTTTTCAAACTGAATTAAACGTTCCAACATATAAACTTTCAGTTTTCTGAATTCCTGGAGTTAGACTGAGGAGTGGTTTCAGCATGTTGTTCCTGCCTTTTATTACCCAGATTCCTAAAGAGCCGATGGTTTTATTTCAGTTCTCTTCTACCATACACCATATTGCAGCCCTTGCTCAAAGGGCCCAGTGCATTCCAGGTTTTTACAGGGGTTAATTCTATTGTGATAGTGAAGTCAGATGACAATAACTTCATACAGGACTTAAATGCGTCTACTACTATATTTTTTTTCTTTGCTGGATTATGGTGCTGGAATGAGAGACAGCAATTCTAGATGAACAAGGTAGGATGATTTGGAATATATAGCCAAGAAGTGGTATGAGGATGAGGACATAAGGCATAACTGTAAATGACCTTTCACAAAGACCTTATTTTAGGTAATTTTACAGTTTCCTTTGTGTTCAATCAATATCGTAAATATCAACATTTAGAATTGTGTATCTTTTTCTCTCCCTGCAATGTTTAACTTAATTGGCACTTTAAATGCCACTTTTTCTTTCTTCTTCTTTCTTACAAGGCAATTTACACCAGCAAAAGCAAATAACCTAACAAAGGTTTGGGTTTTTTTGCAGTGGTTTGGGTTTTGGGGATTTTTTGTTTTCTTTTTATTTAAAGAAATAAAGTCAGAATTGTGAAGTCTATTTTAATGCAGCTATTCAGTCTGAAACAATTAGAAAACCATTCACCCCTGGTGAATCTTTTTCTGTTCCAGTGCTACTATCTCAAGTTTCCTTCATTAGGATTGTTTGGGTTTTGTTTTGCCTTTTGGAACATAATATTTTCTTTGGTCTTTTACTTTTTTACAGATAAGGTGCTTACTCCTATTACTAATTTGTATAAAAGACTAATGTGTTAACTATTGGCATTAAAGGCAATGTAGAGAGAGAAATCTCTCTTAAAATTTTTGAGCCCTTCTGAAATGGAGCAGATTTAGAACTGATAAAACCAGAACTGTTTTAAATACCCTGTTATTTGAAATTTTGATTTACAAAAGTTTCTTAGCATTCACTAAACTAATGAAATAGTTCTTCTAATGACACACTATTGACATGACCTCCTGGCTTGTTGCAGCTCAGGGATTTTTTTTTTTTTTACAATGACTAATTAGAAACATTTCTTTCATTTACAGTGTCTTCAGCAAGCACACCTATTGATAGTCGTCAGATTAGAAACAGCCTCATTTTGGGTTTTAAAAGGTAAGGTTGCTATATGAATACCTCTTTTTATTTTTCCTCTGTAGCAAAACTCGCTCTCTTTTTTGCCTTGTTAAGCACAAGTCTGCACAGTCTTCCCCCTCCCACACTCCATGTTTGAAAATTTAAAAGTAGGGTTCCAGCTGTAGCAGACCTGAGGAGTATCTTTGTTTCTCTCTGCTCTCCTTGGTTTCCTTGTCTATGCTATATATGAACATCCCTTTCAACTATTATATATATAGAGTGGATTAAAAAGAACTTCACTGTTCATGTTTGTTCTGTGGTATTTTACAGTGTATAAACTTCTCACGGTAGGGTTTTACCTTTATTCACTTTTTCGTTTATAAACTGCCATGCTAATGTAAGATTTCCCTAAAGATTATAATTCTTAACCATTAAAGTAAATGGATGCTTAGAGACAGATGAAATACCAGTAGGAGCCAGGCATATTCTACTACATCTGATACCTTTCTGTGTCCTCTGGGTTAATACCACTCCTGACAGCTCACGTTTAACAGTTGGCATTCTGCTACACTGCCATGACTTGGCTATCACAGCCATATTGTCCCGGTTTGTAAGGAGGATTCCTTGCTAACTTGCAGGGTTGTCTTAAGCTCATACAAGTATTTGTGAATTAACAAGCATTTGTATCATTCACTGCTTGCACCAGTCAAACATTTAGGACTGTGAATAAGGGGTTTTTTTTGTAGCATACATATTCCACTGGGAACCAGAGAGATCACTTAATATTAATCAGGACCAGAATCTGAAGACTGCTTTTGTTGACTAAGTTATTCTCTGAAATTTTGTAATGGCTATGAGATGTGACTATGTTTAAGTTGGATATTAGCAAAACACACCAGGTGAATATGACCAAAATAATTTCGTAGTAAGTTGAAAGTCCTGTCTGGCTGATCCTGCTGTACTGTGGGAAAAGCAGGAGAAAAAGCAAACCAGTATTCAAATTTGGTTTGTTAACTAGGCCCTAGCTGACCTTGACTTCCAAGGAATAAGTGAAATAATGATTTGGATCCAATAGGGATATTTTACTATTCTTTTTAGTAGTTAGCTCCAAAATCATCCATTTCAGTTGTATTAATTAGAGTAACAGATTTTTTTGAAACACATTTTTTTCCTCTAAGTATACATAAATACTCAGTTGAAATAGGGCTGGCACCAGAAAGGAAGCCATAGCAGTGTTTACCACAGAGAAACAGTGCTAGAATCAAACACGTCTACCACTAGAAAGTTGTGTGGTTGTTCAGAATGTGAAAGTATCTTAAAAACTTTGTCAAGTTGTCATGTTAAAACTAGCTGCTGAAGAATTGTACTCTCTCCAAGTGAAACAGTTGCTCTCCTCAGTGGTAGAACAGTTACTACACTGGCAATTTCAATGATTTTCAGACGTTTGGAATAAAAACGTGGAGTTCTGGGAGAAATGAAGGTTGAGGAGGTTTTGGTGTGGTTTTGGGTTTTTGTTTCCCCCTTTCCATGCCATTTTTAAGTGTGGCTTAAAAACTTCTTTTAAGTTGTTGGTTGTTTTTTTTTGTTTAACATTGTCTTGTTTGCCTTTATTGCTACCTAGCTTCAGAAGCTATGTGCAGGGCTGTCTGTGCCCAAATTCACCCCCGTGTTATGTCTGAAAGTATGACAATTATTGTTTCCTTTTCTTTTTTAAACTTAATGGCTAAAGCAGTCTGAAAATGAAATGAGCGTATAATAGGATAGCAGAAAAAAGTATTTGTACCTTTTGTAAAGACCGCAGCAAAATTTTATGACTAAATGCTGGTCTTGAATGTTAAAATGAATGGAGTTTAGGACTGGCATGCAAAAGTAGAGAATATAGACACCATGGACACGTGAACAATGTCTGTAACAAACTAGTTTATGGATTTTTTTTGTTGAAGCTGCTCTTCTCTAGTAACTGCTTCAAAGTATTCCCATTCTGTCTGCCTGATGTACCATTACTACTTCAGAGTCAAGTACTTTAGGAAATTGATGCATTTGATATCTATAGTTCATTGTCATGCTGTCAGTGGTGGAGCGAGTTCAGCCAGGAAAGCTTAACTAACGTCGCAGACAGCATTTTTTCCCCCTCTGTGTGGACCTGCATTTGACTCGTTTTCAAATACAAGTGGCAGTAGCACAAAAAGAATGAATGTTTCATAGGCTCAAACCTTCTAAATGAAATTCTAAACTTCTATGAATGCTTTCAAGTTTCTGTGCAGCTGTTAAAACTGGCATCTTATTTTGCCCTTTGGAAAACTATAGGAAGATAAAATAAGGTCCTAAGTTTCTGTTCTCTTAGCCTTGTCTAGGTTACTTTTGCTTTATAGTTGTCAAAAAGTTCTTCTACTGAGAATTTTTACATTCTACAAATTATAGGAATGTATCAGGTTTTTTATATTTCAGTGAACTGGCTAACATTTTAATGTATGAGTTTTTTATACTTCAGTGAACTGGTTAACATTTGATCTTTGATCGTAACCTGATGATTTATGGACAGGTGCTCTCCAGCAAGTTTTGCCCTATTCTATGAAGGGAGACAGAGTTCTTCTATATTTTATTTCCTATTTTTAAATTATTGTCTATTTATCTCACTATAATAAACATTATACCTTAAGTAAGAGATTTTATTACTTTCTTTTTTGCATTATATAAAAGCATTTGTAACTGTCTATAGTTATCTGTCTATATGAAAAATCTAATTGTAATGAAGAGTCTAGATTTTTTGCTCTAGCCAATTCCGCATATCGAGTGTTTGCTATGTAAGGTGTGACTTGTTTGAATGAACCTTATTTCCTTGAAGTGCTAAGTGAAATTAAGTATAAAATAAGAAAGTACAATTAGGGCATATAATAAAACTAAAATATATTCTTTGTAGTCTCAGATATCTATTTGGATTGTGGCACTATTTTAAGTTATGTAGCAGAAACTATGACTCTATGCAGTATAGTAAAAAGTACAATATTCTGTACAAAGTTAATTTAAACAACATGTGGCAATTATTGTATTTTAATTCTATTTAAATAATTTAATAACATCTTCAGTGTTAATGATGTGTGTGTTGCTTTTAAAAAAAAAGATACACAAGTAGTAATTTTGTTGCTTTTAATTTGTTATCCTTTGCTGCCCTCTTCAGCTCAAATGATGTACATCTTTGGAGCAAGGTAAGTGGAGATAATGCTGTAAAGAAAATCAACTTATTTAGGCACTGCATGTTTATGATGTGTTACTGTAAATCTGAATTTGAAGCCTGATAATTGTAGACCTGATTAATTTGAGCAAGGCTTTTGTCAGTGGCAGATTGTACAACCATATGAAATTGAGTTTCCAAATCGGACAATTAATTGTAATCGTGAAAAATCAAATATGGTCTTACCGTGCAGTGTAGTTTCTGCTACTGCAGTTTCTAGATCAATGTTGTTATAGCTGAAGGCAGCACATAGTTGTAGCTTCTATAACAAAACCTGCCATGGTTGTACTAATTGTCATTGTTTCATTCCCTTTCCTCCCTTCCCTAAACTTTCTTCCTATCCCCACACATATAATAAAATAATAAGGCACAATTAGAATTTTAAAGCTTCTGTCATTTAACTTAAAACCTTGAAGGCAAAGCCAGATTAAAAAAAAATCACCTGGATGAAGTCAAGGGGACATGGTTGATCCTCTTGCTGTTCCTGGTATGGGCTACATTAGAAAGATACTGTAATATGACTTAGTCAATAAATTTTGTAGAGCATTAGCATAGAGGAGATGTTGGCAGATGCTGCCTGGGATGTGGTTACAGAATTTGGGAAGGGATGCACTGTGCTTTTTGTCTTTTTCCTTTGATACTGTATCTGCTGACTAATAAACTAGTACATGGCTTGCAGTATATTTTAGGTTTTGTAAAGAAATCTTGGAATGAAATGGAAATCTTAATTTGGAAAGTCACTGATTAATGATTTGCATAAATCAAGTACAGCTTCTGAGGTGCAGATTTTTTGTGTTTTACTACCATTTTCTCTTGTGAGAAGATTGTGGTGAGGGTGTTTTTGTCCTCTGCCTCTATCGTTCCTTCTTTGCAATTAAAAAATAAAGAGAGAGGATGAGGAGAGGAAAAAAAGGAGATCTATTATTGTTCATATTCTGAAATTAATTTTGAAGGACTGTCAGAGGACTGAAGTAGTGGTAGTCTGCACTTAAAGTAGTATCTAGAATTACGCCTGCTGTTCAATGGAAGAAAGAAACATTTTGTTGTCAATATTAAATTTATGAGTAAATTCCTGTATTAACCTTCTAAAATAAGAAACGCTAACTTAAGAAATAACTAGATACTTAGCATTAGAAATAATATCACGTGTTAATTTTTTTTCTTTTATCCATCCTATTTGGATGAGATTTTATTCAGAAGTGTGTTATCATGACTTTCTTGGATTTTATTGTAGTTGTAGGTTCTTCTGTGTCTTGATTTGTCATAGGAGGATGAGGGCAAAAGATCAGAAGAGAGCTGTAGTTTAACTGTCCACAGTGTCCGTGGTATTCGTAGAATGAGAAGAGATAGGTACAGTATTCCAATACACATTTGGTATTTTACAGCATAGTTTATCTATTTTCATAACAATTGAAGGTGAGGGCTACTTTTCTTATATCATTGCTTAAAATACAGCACTTTGACAGTGGGAATGCATCTCCCTCTAACTTCTTTCAGATTGCATTCTGGAATTGGGGCAGATAAAGTAAAATTCTTAAAATACTTTAAAATCTCAGCTTTTAGCTAAAGATGATATAATTTCCTTAAGAACAGTAAAATGGATTTCTAAAGTGATGTAGTTTAGGTTAAAGTATTTGTAGGTAGGATGTGGGGGTTTTTGGGTAAATGCTTCTTTTAATTCTGGTGAAGTAAAATCTCTGTATTACTTCCGTTTGTGTGACTGTTGAAATGGGTGCTAAATTTAGTCAAATACAATTAACTATTATGGATGCATGTTTTGTCATTCAAAATTGCACTTATTTACCACAGCTGTATTAGTTTTCTTAAATCTAACAGAGCATAAGAAATAGCGTTCCTCTTTTTATGTATTTGCTTCTTTCAAAATAATAATAACAAAAAAAAGCTTTATGGGCCTATTTCAGCCTTTCAATAAATTGGAACGTAATTGTAGCATCTCTAGAAGTGCCACTGGTTAATATTTGCTTTAAGCAATGTCTTACAATAGCTAACTTTCTGTAGAATGATACACAACCCAAATACTAGAGTGTCTGTCTTACTGCCATACCTCAGAAAGCATTTCTGTTTGCAATATTTTTTTTAAGAAAAACCTATTATTTACAAAAAAAATGTTCCGTGTATTTCTCAGGGAATTACTATGATGTGGTAAAGAATAATACTTTAACAGAGAAATGCTTTATTATTTTGAGAATTCAATTTCAGATACTATTTGTCCTTGCTTCTTTTGACTGCAATGTACGATTATTCTGTCTTACCAGATAACAGAACTGTTGTACGAGGATGAACGATATTGCCTGACGCCTCCAGGACCAACTGGTAGAGTTTCAATTTCTATGATTGTAACTTATCCACAAATCCGTTCTTCTGTGTAATGATGGGTTTGAGGGATTACAACAGTAAACACTGATTGCTTCTTTTTGAAAGTGAAATTTGAAAACATGTTGGCTAAAATCCTGATTCGAATAATCGGAGCATATTTTGTGAGATCCACAAGATCTTGTTTTAGAGTTGAAAATAAATCTTGCTGATAACTATTTATTCTTCTAAATTTATTGAGCAAAATAGAGATTTAGAGTGAACACAGTATCAGTATTAAATACTTTTAAAAAATAAAATTAAAAAAGCAGTCTTTCAACCTAGTTTTACCTTTAGTAGCTCTTCTGATTTTTGAAATAAGTATCCTTTTTTGGTATAATCTGGCTTGGAAAAAACAGGGTTGATTTGTTGTTTTTTTTTTCCTGCTGTCAGGGCTGGAGGGGCACGGGGTATGGGAAAAGCTAACCCTTGAGAGGACGCTGATTGATGTTCTTCCTGTTCTCGGCTACAGGACCCTATATGTTTTACACTTGCATAGATAAGAAACTTAACACTACTTGCTAAAATCTGTTAATTTTAATTTTCATTGGCTAATAAGCAACTTCAATATTAGTTGATTTAATGGTTAAAATATTTTTTGTTTTTGTTTTAATATTACAATACTTGTAGCTTGTGAGTGAAACATAATGGGCAAAATGTACAGAATAAATATGCAAAGTGTTAGAAATCTGTTTTTTCTTTTGAGCAGTGACAAAATATTTGTGGCAACTATTTGGGGTAGCAGGCAGGAAAGGGGGGGAAGGCCTTGGGCAGTACCACTTCTGTCACACAGTAGTGGAAAAAATAGATTGAAGTAAGATTCTGTACTGAAAAGCTGTCACTAGGTCTGAAAATAATTAATATTCCTTTCACTCACCAGTTAGATATGTGCTCCCAAACCACATAATCTCTATGCCTCAGTGATCATTGTTGCCATTTCAGAGCCTCTCATCAGGGTGACATCTCACACCAAAATGATTTCTTATAAATTAATCTTGATAACATGACAGTCTCGGTAATTTTAGTGGAATGCTTTCTCTTGTTTTTTTCCACAGAAGCTGTTGGCTATTTTCTTTATCACTTGATTGACAGCATGAGTGACTCAGAGGTACAGGCCAAGGAGGAGCGTTTGAGACAATACTTCCATCAGCTGAAGAAGATGGTACCATTTCATTTTTTGCTACATAATGCCTGTCCTGCCTGACATGTATCTATTAGATTTGAAATTGCTGCTTTTAAGTACAACCAGACCACTTCTCAATGACATGCAAGAGCTGGAGACTTGAATTACGTCTGAGATAATTTCTGTTAGACAAATTTCAGTTTGGTTGTGTTTCAAAACTCATATAATTTTTTCCCCACCTCTTGGTACAGAATATAGTTATCCCTGCAACCTACTGCAGCGGCATTTGCAGACTGCTGGACTCCTCTCAAGTTCCTGAATTAATTAAGGTCTGTGGTTCTACAGCAATTACTATGAAGCTAAAGAACAGAGTATCTGTACTCCCTGAATATATTCTTCTTTGCTAAATATATATCTTTATGCAGTGATTATATGTGAGCCTTGTAACTTTTCCATGATTTTTCGCTATTGAAGCTGCTTTCGTATGTGAAAGTTTTTGAGGGATACATTTAATAAGTGCTTTTTCAAGTCACTGAAATAATGCTGCAGAATACAGCTTTTTTAGCATTGCTATTATATAATTAACTTGAACACTTCTAGCATGATATGCTTATTTAGAGATTGAACTTTCTGGGGGCATTAGTGATATCTTTGTCTTACTACATTTTAGGATGCAAGGTTACTGTCTCATAAAAAATCTCTGTCTACAGAAAACATTCCAGAAGTAAGTAAATTCACAGATAGCTATGCTTGTTCTTACTGTGATAATAATGTTTGGATATGGGTTTTAGATGAAGTGTAATCACTGGCTTTCAGATCATGGAAGTATATTATCGTTATTTAAATCTACCATTTGAAGTTCAGAGGTTACTTTCCAGAGTAGTAGTAAAGGCTATCCAGATTTTCACTTAGACCCGATACTTGACCTTGGAGTTGGCTGAGGTTTCATGCCTCAGTTTCCCTGTCTGGTAAATATTTTGTTGAGAGTTCTAGTTAGTTAACAGTGGTGGTGTGAGGCTTAATTCATGCTTGTAAATTATAGTGATCCACTTGAGTGGCAGGAACCATATAAATCCATACTGCTTCTAATGGTGGAGTGTCAAGTCTTTACATCACTGATCCGAGCAGAGTGGAGATGGAAAGAGAAACAGGCTTCTATTCCCTACTTCCCTGAACACAAAGAAACTGAGTATGAGAGAAATAGTAATGTTGACCTTTGTAGATATGCTACTTAGTGGTTTTTTTTACCGTATTCTGACTCAAATCTTCAATTAGTATGTACTATTTAAACAAATAAAAGTACCTTAAATGATTAAAAAAAATCTTGCAGTGTGAAAGAGGAGGATTATTTTATCTGTCTTTTATTAAAGTGATCCGACAAGTTGTTCAGGGAAGGGTGTTTTTGCAATTGACATTCTTTCTGTTACCTCCATTTAGAGTGCTAAATCTGACGTGTCTGCTTTGGAGAAGAAACTAGAAGAGCGAAAAGCTGAAAACCAGCCTATTACAGATGTCTTGAAACAACTCATACTTGCTCTTTGTGAAGAAGAGGTATCTTAAGCAATGCAGAGATAATTGGAAACACATAGCTGTATTTTTAAAGGGACATAAATGACTGTGTTATGGAAAGACATAGTTAAGCAAAGACAAGTGCAGTGCTTGAGGTTTCATGGTTTGATGCTTATAAATCAAACATAAGTGCAAAAAGCAATTAAATCAAAAGGTTAACTAATTTCAGCAACACCTTGAATGGCATGTTTTGGGGTTGCTGAAGTTTGTTTACAATAATCTGCAAAGTGAATGATAATAACAGCTGTGATAGGTTTATCATACATGCCAAATGTCCTTTCAAGCCATGGCTCCGGTCTCTTATATCTAGATTGTCAAGCAACTGATACATGCACTAGTCATTTGCAATTCAAATATTACTAGGTTGTTAATGCAGGGATTGAAATTCCATTTTCCTGCAGGAGGAAAGCTCTTCTGAGATAAAGGGTCTCTTGCTTTCATTCGGCAGGCGTCCAGCTGTAGTTTACATTCATTTAGTGTGTGTCTGTAATTTGTGGGGTATCACCACACTTGTATTCAGTTTCTTGTTCAGTATGATCCTGTATATATAGGAACAGTAACAGTCATGCAGATGATAGCACAATATTCTCTGTTGCTAAGAATACAGTTTAGAAAGAGTGATTCTCAGCTGTCTGCCTCTATGATTTTCCATATGAAATAAGACTAGAAGCAAACACCATTTTAAGTTCAAAGAGGTCAAATGTGTGAATAGGAATGTATTAAAAAAATAAATGCTTTCCATGGGATCATTAAGTAGTTTCTTATTCTTTAGGAAGTAGTTTTGTTATGTGTTTGACAGTGTACCAAGTGAATATCGTTATGAATTTCAAATAAATAAGTACTGTTTTAGAATATGGGTTAGTTATGTTTGTGGTGTCTGTCTGGATTTAAAAAAAATAAAATCTTAGATTAAAACATGCTAGAAATGTAAACGTAAAGCAAGAAAAAATTGTTAGAAACCTATGCTTAATTAAATCTAAAATGTGTTTTAGAAAAATATTAATTTCTGCAAAATAATTTTCACCTAAAATTTGCTAAAGCATTACAGCGCTCTTTTCAAATGTGATCTTATACTACTAAAAGCATTAAAGCAATCATGTAACTGCACACTGAACATACAAGAATCATAATGCCATATTGACTTTTCCTCTAGTTCACATCTTTGCTTTGTTCCTTTTTTTAGAATATGCAAAAAGCCCTTGAAGTGAAAGCCAAATATGAACCGGACATGGTTGTCGGTGGCTATGCAGCCTTAATAAATTTGTGCTGTCGACATGATAACGTAGAAGAGGCAATGAACCTGAAAGAAAAAGTGTAAGTACACCGGCACTGAAACATGTCACAGAGATTTATGCTGATACACAGACCTTGTTGAATTAAGTAGGTTGAGTATTAACCCCCTCATCCATTTTTAATTAGTTTTCCCTACCAACGTATATGCATTTAAAACAGTCAAGGGTGTGGTTTTTTTGAAACAAAAAAATGTGCTTTGTGTAATTGAACGTGAGAAGCAGCTACTTTGTATAGTCAGTAATTATCTTTTTTTTTTAAAGACAAACAAAACAGATCCTACATAACAATTTTTATTTTAAACATACATAGTGTCTAAATTGAAGTATGGTTTAATTTAAGGCAAGAGGGGAAAGTGCCTGTCTTGTGTGTTAGGAAGCACCTAAAATGCATTTAGAATATGCTGCACCTGTATTGTCTTTAGAATAGCAGTCTTTGAGTGACATTATTTTAAAGTGCTACCAATCATTTTACTTTAATTTTTTGTTTTCAGACCTTTGTGTCTTGGTTGTGGAAATTAGCTCCCAGCTAAAACATGCTGTGCATGACTTATCCAGGAGCAAATTCTTACAGATCGTCTTTCTGTTTGGCCCTTCCCTTTTTCCCTTGAAAGCTTCCTTTTGGTCTGCGACTACAGTGAATATAGAATGAGTTTTGTGTTACTTTCAGGTTCTCTCTCTTAAGCACTCACAAAGTATTTGCTTTGGTTTTACAGTAGGTTAGCAGGCAGGTGCTCATTACACCTTGCTAGTGTTTTGAAATTATGTGAAATGATTGAGCTATGAATATCAAGAAATTTGCCACTCTGCAAATAACGGTAGTGTATTGCTTTTGGCTGTACTGCCCCTCTCACATAATCCCCATAGTGAGCTTGCATGAAATGTAATTGAGTCTTCTAGTGGAGCTTCACCGCAGTAACACGTTTTTACTGATCTCCCTCAAATGTAGCATAGAATTGCGAAGAAGTGACTCTTCAAATTGTTACAAAAAGAAACAGCAGAGAAGGAATTAATTTAAAAAATTCCATAAAAAAGGAAAAAAAAATAGCAGAAACTTCAAAATAGTAACTTTAACTTGTTACTATAGGCAAATAGTTTCATATTCTTCTTCATATTCTTCATCTAGCCCTGCCCCAGCCACGTGGACTGAGTTTTCTTCCCAGGCTTCTGGGAAATACCCTGTTTTATATAATAACTATGAAATAATTAAGCCATTTGGCTCTTTTAAAATAAAACCTCTGGGGTTTGGGGTGGGAAGGGGTGTGGATAATATTTTAAAATATCACATTTTAATGGTACATCTTTTAAAGCCTATCATATTTTTCATTTAATGCTTATTAGCTCTTAGCTTTCAATGCTCTTGTTTTGTTATGCAGTTTTAAAAATAAATTTAAGCTGGATCCATAAAATATGAACTTCTGTTGATACAATTCTTAATGTTTTAATTTCTAGTTTCCCTAAGAATTCACCTGTTGCTCTTGACACTGGAAAGTATGTAGCGCTGGTAGAAGTCTTAGGAAAGCATGGTAGACTAGAAGGTAATCCATTTGCTTTCATTGTGTGTTTCTGCTATATAATAAAGGTATCTTGCCTCAAGAATAAAAATGTGAGTTGATATTAATGGTATATCATGTCTTGAAAAGTGCTTGAACATTTTGCATACAAATTTGCATGTGAATTCAACCAGAGATGCTTGGACAGTGCAGGCCATTAGTTTTAATGGATTGGCAAGCTTGTCATTTACATTTGCACAGCTCAGTGCTTTTTGCATTTCTGCAGCTAGTTTTTATTAGCATTGCTGTTTGGATTGAGTTTGAAGATCATGACTTATGGCACAAATTGCGTATGTGCCTAGACTAATGGCTTTGTTTTTGCTTAAGAAGGTCTGAAGGCTGAACATAAAACCTATAAACATAACCTTCTCAGAAGTGCCAAGTACTGCAAAAAATAATTTAACTTTATATAAAGTATATATTTTTCTGTTAGTATCCTTTTATGTGTTTGTTATTGAATTTTAGAATCAATCTGTCAAACTGCAGGGAAATTTTGGCTTTAATGAATGTTCTGCAAGCTGCCTATTTTGTATTTGTAGATGTTTGCATTAGGCTGTTAGCTCTTTAATTTCTGTAATTTAGTCTAATACAATTCTGCAATGTACGTGATTTGGTTGATCTTTAAAAGAACTCTAGACTGTCATCAACTTTAAAAGCTAATTCTGAATATTGAGTTCTGTGATTTTGTAAAGACTTAAAACTATAAAAACAAGGTCCAAGACTAGACACGAAATGTTAATGATGTTATATAAAACATTATACAATAAAATAAAATAGGTAATGTAATTTTTCCTGTAAGATCTTTCTTTGAAATTTGTCTCAGCCTTATTATTAAGCATACTGTTAGAAAAATAATAAACAAAACTGATGGTTTCCAAATGATAACAAATCAGATCATGACCACCTCTACATTAAAGCAGTTTGAAAAGATTAGCTTGCTTTTAAGAGCATAAATGTCCCTCAGTAAATAAAATAATTCATAAATGTAGCCAAATGTAAAGTGGTCAAAGCATTCTGTCCATGCAATAATTAAGAACATTATAAAAATGCACTTATTCCATATACCAAAATGTTTGTTTCTGCCTTACTAATGAAGCTTAATGAACCTAATGTTTTAACATGCAGTCTGTTAGCAAGCTTTCATTGGCTCTCCTTGGCTAATTAGTATCGACACAGCAAACAGGCCCTATCGGTATCAGACCATTAGTCTGGCTGTATATACAGTGTAAACATATCTTTATTATCTGGCCTCGTGACAAGCCATCTGCTGAAGAAACAATGGAGTGATTTAGCAGATGTTAGCATTGAACGATAAAAGCATCCATTTAGTAGAATCTTGCAGCTATAGGGCAGACTATACAGGGTTATGTGGTGCAGAGTGGGCACACAGTTCCTATCTATAATTTGTAGTCAAAGTTGCAGCAAAATGATAAAACCATGCTATTGTGGATTTATAATTGTAGTCTCGTTTAGAAATGCAAGTAGTAATTAACTTGAAATCGGCATTATACGCCAGAATTTACATTC